TTAATGTCAGGGTCGTGGGTTCGAGCCCGACGTTGGGCGTTTCTGTTACTTTTCTCTCTCTCTCTCAGCAAACTTACATTAGGCTTCATATAGCAGACCTTTTGAGACAAAGTTCTGACTTTCTACCACTGTAGGTGACCTTTCACTAAGTCTCTGTGGTGCAGTCGGTTAGCGCGTTTGGCTGTTAACTGAAAGGTTGGTGGTTGAAGCCCACCCAGGGACGAATTAGGCATTTTGCTGCCTTGCAACTGCTAAACCGTGCACTGGGCATATATCCTGGGCCACATTCTGTCCAGCGTTACAAGATGAAATCAGGATTTAGCAGAACATTGTCACGGGTAGGGAAGGTATTACTGTAAACGGTTTCTAGCTCCTAAAAGAGCTTTTCATCAGCCCCGCTAGCTCAGTCGATAAAGCATGAGACTCTTAATCTCAGCGTCGTGGGTTAGAGCCCCACATTGGGCGTTTCTGTTACCTCTCTTTCTCTCAGCAAACTATCATTAGGGTTCATATAGCAGACCTTTTGAGACAAAGTTCAGCGTTTCTACCACTGTAGGTGACCTTTCATTGAGACTCTGTGGTGCAATCGGTTAGCGCGTTAGGCTGTTAACTGAAAGGTTGGTGGTTCAAGCCCACCCAGGGACGGATCAAGCGTTTTGCTGCCTTGTAACTGCTAACACGTGCACTGGACATAGATCCTGGGCCACATTCTGCCCAGCGTTACAAGACGAAATCAGGATTTAGCAGAACATTGTCACGGGTAGGGAAGGTATTACTGTAAACAGTGTTTAGCTCTTAAAAGTTCATCTCATCAGCCCGGCTACCTCAGTCGGTAGAGCATGAGACTCTTAATCTCAGGGTCGTGGGTTCGAGCCCCTCGTTGGGCGTTCCTGTTATTTTTCTCTCTCTCTCCCAGCAAACTTACATTAGGGTTCATGTAGCAGACTTTGAGACAAAGTTCCGCGTTTCTACCACTGTAGGTGACCTTTCACTAAGTCTCTGTGGCTCAATCGGTTAGCGCGTTCGGCTGTTAACTGAAAGGTTGGTGGATCTAGCCCACCCAGGAACGAGTTAGGCATTTTGCTGCCTTGCAACTGCTAACACGTGCACTGGACATAGATCCTGGGCCACATTCTGTCCAGCGTTACAAGATGAAATCAGGATTTAGCAGAATATTGTCACGGGTAGGAAAGGTATTACTGTTAACAGTGTCTAGTTCTAGTGGTGACTGCTCATTCGCCTGGCTAGCTCAGTCGGTAGAGCATGAAACACTTAATGTCAGGGTCGTGGGTTCGAACCCCACGTTGGGCGTTTCTGTTACTTTTCTCTCTCTCTCTCAGCAAACTTACATTAGGCTTCATATAGCAGACCTTTTGAGACAAAGTTCTGACTTTCTACCACTGTAGGTGACCTTTCACTAAGTCTCTGTGGTGCAGTCGGTTAGCGCGTTTGGCTGTTAACTGAAAGGTTGGTGGTTGAAGCCCACCCAGGGACGAATTGGGCATTTTGCTGCCTTGCAACTGCTAAACCGTGCACTGGGCATATATCCTGGGCCACATTCTGTCCAGCGTTACAAGATGAAATCAGTATTTAGCAGAACATTGTCACGGGTAGGGAAGGTATTACTGTAAACGGTTTCTAGCTCCTAAAAGAGCTTTTCATCAGCCCCGCTAGCTCAGTCGATAAAGCATGAGACTCTTAATCTCAGCGTCGTGGGTTAGAGCCCCACATTGGGCGTTCCTGTTACCTCTCTTTCTCTCAGCAAACTATCATTAGGGTTCATATAGCAGACCTTTTGAGACAAAGTTCAGCGTTTCTACCACTGTAGGTGACCTTTCACTAAAACTCTGTGGTGCAATCGGTTAGCGCGTTAGGCTGTTAACTGAAAGGTTGGTGGTTCAAGCCCACCCAGTGACGGACCAAGCGTTTTGCTGCCTTGTAACTGCTAACACGTGCACTGGACATAGATCCTGGGCCACATTCTGCCCAGCGTTACAAGACGAAATCAGGATTTAGCAGAACATTGTCACGGGTAGGGAAGGTATTACTGTAAACAGTGTTTAGCTCTTAAAAGTTCATCTCATCAGCCCGGCTACCTCAGTCGGTAGAGCATGAGACTCTTAATGTCAGGGTCGTGGGTTCGAGCCCCACGTTGGGCGTTCCTGTTATTTTTCTCTCTCTCTCCCAGCAAACTTACATTAGGGTTCATGTAGCAGACTTTGAGACAAAGTTCCGCGTTTCTACCACTGTAGGTGACCTTTCACTAAGTCTCTGTGGCTCAATCGGTTAGCGCGTTCGGCTGTTAACTGAAAGGTTGGTGGTTCAAGATCACCCAGGGACGAGTTAGGCATTTTGCTGCCTTGCAACTGCTAACATGTGCACTGGACATAGATCCTGGGCCTCATTCTGTTCAGCGTTACAAGATGAAATCAGGATTTAGCAGAAGATTGTCACGGGTAGAAAGGTATTACTGTAAACGGTTTCTGGTTCCTAAAAGAGCTTCTCATCAGCCCGGCTAGCTCAGTCGGTAGAGCATGAGACTCTTAATCTCAGGGTCGTGGGTTCGAGCCCCACGTTGGGCGTTCCTGTTACTTTTCTCTCTCTCTCCCAGCAAACTTACATAAGGTTACATGTAGCAGACTTTGAGACAAAGTTACGTGTTTCTACAACTGTAGTTGACTTTTCACTAAGTCTCTGTGGTGCAATCGGTTTGCGCGTTCGGCTGTTAACTGAAAGGTTGGTGGTTCAAGCCCACCCAGGGACGAATTAGGCATTTTGCTGCCTTGCAACTGCTAACATGGCACTGGACATAGATCCTGGGCCACATTCTGTCCAGCGTTACAAGATGAAATCAGGATTTAGCAGAATATTGTCACGGGTAGGGAAGGTATTACTGTTAACAGTGTCTATTTCTAGTGGTGACTCCTTATTCGCCTGGCTAGCTCAGTCGGTAGAGCTCGAGACTCTTAATGTCAGGGTCGTGGGTTCGAGCCCCTCGTTGGGCGTTTCTGTTACTTTTCTCTCTCTCTTAGCAAACTTACATTAGGGTTCATATAGCAGACCTTTTGAGACAAAGTTCTGACTTTCTACCACTGTAGGTGACTTTTCACTAAGTCTCTGTGGTGCAATCGGTTAGCGCGTTTGGCTGTTAACTGAAAGGTTGGTGGTTGAAGCCCACCCAGGGACGAATTAGGCATTTTGCTGCCTTGCAACTGCTAAACCGTGCACTGGGCATATATCCTGGGCCACATTCTGTCCAGCGTTACAAGATGAAATCAGGATTTAGCAGAACATTGTCACGGGTAGGGAAGGTATTACTGTAAACGGTTTCTAGCTCCTAGAAGAGCTTTTCATCAGCCCCGCTAGCTCAGTCGATAAAGCTTGAGACTCTTAATCTCAGCGTCGTGGGTTAGAGCCCCACATTGGGCGTTTCTGTTACCTCTCTTTCTCTCAGCAAACTATCATTAGGGTTCATATAGCAGACCTTTTGAGACAAAGTTCAGCGTTTCTACCCCTGTAGGTGACCTTTCACTAAGTCTCTGTGGTGCAATTGGTGAGCCCGTTCGGCTGTTAACTGAAAGTTTGGTGGTTCAAGCCCACCCAGGGACGAATTAGGCATTTTGCTGCCTTGCAACTGCTAACACGTGCACTGGACATAGATCCTGGGCCACATTCTGTCCAGCGTTACAAGATGAAATCAGGATTTAGCAGAAGATTGTCACGGGTAGGGAAAGTATTACTGTAAACTGTTTCTGGTTCCTAAAAGAGCTTCTCATCATCCCCGCTAGCTCAGTCGATAAAGCATGAGACTCTTAATCTCAGCACCGTGGGTTAGAACCCTACATTGGGCGTTTCTGTTACCTCTCTTTCTCTCAGCAAACTATCATTAGGGTTCATATAGCAGACCTTTTGAGACAAAGTTCCGCGTTTCTACCACTGTAGGTGACCTTTCACTAAGTCTCTGTGGCGCAATCGGTTAGCGTGTTAGGCTGTTAATTGAAAGGTTGGTGGTTCAAGCCCGCCCAGGGACTCATCAAGCCTTTTGCTGCCTTGTAACTGCTAACACGTGCACGACATAGATCCTGGGCCACATTCTGCCCAGCGTTACAAGACGAAATCAGGATTTAGCAGAACATTGTCACGGGTAGGGAAGGTATTACTGTAAACAGTGTTTAGCTCTTAAAAGTTCATCTCATCAGCCCGGCTACCTCAGTCGGTAGAGCATGAGACTCTTAATGTCAGGGTCGTGGGTTCGAGCCCCACGTTGAGCGTTCCTGTTATTTTTCTCTCTCTCTCCCAGCAAACTTACATTAGGGTTCATGTAGCAGACTTTGAGACAAAGTTTCGCGTTTCTACCACTGTAGGTGACTTTTCACTAAGTCTCTGTGGCGCAATCGGTTAGCGCGTTCGGCTGTTAACTGAAAGGTTGGTGGTTCAAGCCCACCCAGGGACGAATTAGGCATTTTGCTGCCTTGCAACTGCTAACACGTGCACTGGACATAGATCCTGGGCCACATTCTGTCCAGCGTTACAAGATGAAATCAGGATTTAGCAGAATATTGTCACGGGTAGGGAAGGTATTACTGTTAACAGTGTCTAGTTCTAGTGGGGACTCCTCATCCGCCTGGCTAGCTCAGTCGGTAGAGCATGAGACTCTTAATCTCAGGGTCGTGGGTTCGAGCCCCACGTTGGGCGTTTCTGTTACTTTTCTCTCTCTCTCTCTCAGCAAACTTACATTAGGGTTCATATAGCAGACCTTTTTAGACAAAGTTCCGCGTTTCTACCACTGTAGGTGACTTTTCACTAAGTCTCTGTGGCAGAATCGGTTAGCGCGTTTGGCTGTTAACTGAAAGGTTGGTGGTTCAAGCCCACCCAGGGACGGATCAATCATTTTGCTGCCTTGCAACTGCTAACACGTGCACTGGACAAAGATCCTGGGCCACATTCTGTCCAGCGTTACAAGATGAAATCAGGATTTAGCAGAACATTGTCATGGGTAGGGAAGGTATCACTGTTAACAGTGTCTAGACAAAGTTCCGCGTTTCTACCACTGTAGGTGACCATTCCCTAAGTCTCTGTGGCAACATTATGAAGCTGCAGGCCCCGAGACCCAACCGCATGCTCAGACCTGCTCGCTCAGACCAGCACTTCCAGACCTATCATTTTCTCAGACAGTGCCACCTGCTGTTGGAAAAATTGCCTAACCTGAATTCATTGATGTATAAATTGTAAATTACACTATTTTTCTACTATAAAATATTGCACTATGATTGAATACATTATTATATAAAATATTAAACATACTAGATTATGATTTAATGCATTAAGTCTGTTGTATTTTAATTAACTGTATTTGTAAATAGATATTGTTCAGTTACTTAAATATTTTCAGTCATTTATTGTTTTTGTTGTTGTTTTTTGTTTTTAAATCATTAAGGATTTATCAAACTCTTTAGTATCGAGTTGAGGGAATGAACATTATCTTATTATTCACAGAATAAATGATAGTACTCTGAGTAATTTTCTCACACCAAACTTTATTTTTTTATAAATTTTCATGAGGTCCTACAAGTCATCGAGCTGTAAAAAAATGCAGAGAAAAATTGTGAAAAACAATACTTGGATTAATAATGTATTTATTACATATAAAATAAAATGCTTTACATTCTTGTTGGGGAGATTTTTCCATTTCTCGAGCAATTCTTCTGTTAAATTCCTCAACTTCACTAAAAAAAAAAAAATGCTGTTGTCAGAAATTGTGTTTAACATAAAAACTTAACAGCTTTTGTACAAAAAAAAAAAAAATGTAAACATACCTTGCGTGATAAATGTGGCCCTGGAGGAAGACATCTTCAGCCTCCTGCCAAGACAAGCCTTGTAACTCGGAAATGCCATGAGTTATGGCCTGTACAAACATACAGATAAACCAATTAATAAAATAAAACACACTGCAGAACATAAGCATGCTCATGTACATACATGTTTTGTGATTACCTCTGGGAGGAGACATCCACAAATGAACTCCACCTCATCATTGAAGGTCAGCTGTGTTTTGATTTTATTAAGAATTCCTCTGATGTAGTCACAAATGATTGACTGGGACTGCTCATTCTCAATGTAGACAGGCACTTGAGAACGTAGTTTTAGTGGAAACCAATTTGACCTTTTCCCACCGAGTATATCCTTTGGGCCATAGAAGGAAATTATATTTTATATGTAAATGCACAAGTAATTAATTATATTTGGCAAATAATAGTTAAGTTGTCACTTGACTATATTTAAGTCAACCATACTCAGTGTCTAGAGGAGTAATTTAAAGTGGAACCATCTATACCACCAAATGCTGCTCTGCTGATTTTGATGTGATAATCAAGTCCATTAATCTTTTGTCATTCCTTTCCCGATCTTGAACTGCTTTGACATGTGCCGGAAGATTGGATGTGGTTTTTCCTTTCACCCTAAAAAGGAGCAGAATCTTTCCATCCAAGACACTTCTTGCCTCCTCAGTCCAGAAAGCAAATCTGTGCCCATAGCTTTTAATAACAAGACAAAATCCATAATTACTGTGTAACGAGGAGACTGACACGGAGGGATCCATTATGCAGTATTTATTAATCACAACTTCACTCAAACACACAATATGCACCGGAGTGCACACACACATCCACAGTAGTAGTATGGGTATCAAGACTGATGATGAACAGACAAAGAGTGAGTTACCAGGCATGAGTGGAAGGGAGTGAGCGAGAACCAGGATCCGTTATGCAGGCTTGGGTCAAGGGCAGGCAGCAAGGATCAGAGTCCGTATAACAGGCGTGGTTCGTGGGCAGGCAAAGAGAGAGTCAGAGTCCGTATAACAAGCGTGGGTCGTGGGCAGGGAGAAGGCGAAGCAAAGTAAGAGACAGGCTGGAGTCGTGCACAGGAGATCAGGCTGGCGATAATGCTCAGAAATGCTGGCCGGGGCTAAACAAGACTTCGCCCTGATCGAGTGTTTGAGTGCGGCTTATAAGAGGTACGTGGGTCATTAGCCAGATTCCAATCAGGTGTATGCGCAATCAGTGTAGATGGATGACGTAATGCTAAAAGTCCAGAGATGGTGGCCTCTGCTGGCCAGCGAGGGGAGTTACTGGGACCGAGTCGGTGACATACTGGTCACCGGTAAGAGAGATTTTAAGTATGTTTTGTTATTCATGTTACAAGTTGTTGTATTGACTCAATATAAATTTTTAATTTTACAGATTTACAAGAAAAATAAATAAATACTGACATACCCATCAATTTGAAATCGTTCCATGAGTAGAAGGCACCACCACTGACGGATGATAGGTATATCCATCTGAAAGAAAGACTGTTTAGTCTGACAGTTAACCAACATGTTTTTGTTAATACATGATGTTGAGTGTGCTTGCAATAACCATGCCCCTTTTTTTTAAAAGATATGTTGCTTAGAAGAAAGCAAGATAATATACACTAAAATAGTTACATTTTAGCTATGATTAAGAAAAGCACCAACAAAATAAAGTTACATAAATAATAAAATAATACCTCCTGGAATTGAAACCTAATGCCACACACCATTGAGAGGGTGTACTGAAAAGAGAGAAGCCACAGTCATTTACAATGTTTACAAAATCTTTAAATCAATTAACTCAATTTATATCTTACCATGAGTACAAAAACACCACAATCATTCCCTCTTGTCTGACGTGGCAAAGCCTAAAATAGGCAAAGCAAATCAATTTTATTTTAGAATAATGTACAAAAAATTTAATTGTTGTAAAAGCCAAAAAATAATTTTTTTAAAGTTGATTCCTCACTGGAAAATCATATCCATTTTTTTTAGACCATGTCCCATGATCCACTTGGTAAGCAACTTTCCTGTAAACAAAACATAGTAGTAATACTAACAATTACAGCTCACCTCAACTCTAGAACACCATGCATAAAAAAGGCTAGATCAACATAGCCAGAAGTTCAAGAAACGGCTATAGGAACGTAGCCAAAAGTGACAGAACTATAATACACGGTTAGGAAATAAATAGAAATGGCTATAGGAACGTAGCCATATATCACATAAAGGCTGAAACGTCTTAGTTTATTGATAGACCTAAAAATTGCCCTGTATTCCTCATCTCCAAATCCTGATTCATGCTCTGCGTACAGAGAGTCTAAAAACACCATCTCTCTTCGAAGCGGCATCATTATCTACAATGTTAAAGGTGTAAAAATATTTCATTTGAACATTATTGCTTCTTCCAAGATTTTTCAGTGTTTTATTTTAGAAACACACACATTGCAATACCAATTAATGTATGCACTAGACATTTCAATATTTTCTTACACAGACAACAAAGCGGTCTGGTCCACTGGCATTTGTCCATGCTGGAAAGGCTAACAGGTCTTTCAAGTCTGCATCTTCCCAGAATTGATCAGGACAGTTATGTCGTTTAATTTAGGTTGTACTTCTCACACAGTAAATACAGTACATACACGCACCGGTAATCCATTAACAATGTTGTTAGGAGTTTCTTTCCACACAGGGACAACATAAAAGTCCTCAATGTATATGTCCTTGCCCTACATGAATAAAAAGAAACTGTTGACAATGACATGAACATTTTCACACAGTTTAGAAATTGTTTTTTTTTTTTAAATTTGGATCAAGTTAAAACAATCTATATAAATATTATGTTTTATAGTACATACAATTTGTCGAGCCATTTCACAAATAAGCTTCATGCAGGCGTTTCCAATCTGCAATAAATACTTTGATAAGTCAATGTTTTTAATAAAAAAAAAGTTATAATAAAAAAACAGACTGCTTACATGCGAGTCCATGTCCCTCAACAATCCAAGGCTCCAAAATTCTTCTCGAATAAGGCACACTTGCCCCTCCTTCACAATTATTTCACTGCCAGGGCGATTTCGGTCCAGCACATAATCAAGCTGTAATAATAATAACAATAAATATGTGTGTGTGTGTGTGTGCGTTTGTATGTAATGGTAATTGTTCACCAGTTTCTCTTGTAATGGATGCCAGTCCCTCTCCCAAGGCTTAGTAGGTTCCAAAAAATTCAGAAGAGTGGTAGGTTCACAAGCTGTTTTTTCTGTAATTGGTACTGATGACAGAGAAGATGTGACTGATGTTATGCCTGGTGATGCAGCGGTCGTTTGTAAAGTCACAATATTTTCTGGCAGTGCTGTCAGTGGTCCTTAGAGTACAATAAAGCATCAAAACTAGAAAATAACACATAATAATTAGAGAACAGAAACTTGACACTGAGCAACTGGAAAGAACAGTCAAATTACCAAGTGACATATCCATGCATTTCTCTGTGGAGGATGGATTTTCTATAAATACAAATATACACATAAGTACAGTTATGGATATAGTGATGTATTTGTTACAAAGTAAGGGAAACATTACCTAACACAACCGGGCTGTGGTCATTCATGTGAATGTTTGTGTTGAATTCCTTTTTTATGTCATGAAGACGTTTCTCGTTTTTTCTGACATTGTAATGGTGGATGATGTTTCGCATGAGGAAAACATGTGTGGATGGCAATGCCATGTTCATAAAGTAGTTATTTTTCTTTAGCTTTGAAAAAAGCTGTTCTGCAGCCTGACTGTTAACTTTGCCAGCTAGTTGAGGCACAAGATGAAGCTTCCTCAGTGAATCACGAGGATCTTTTGTGTTGTCTTCGTGAAAGCGGTCATACAGAAAATAGTGTTCTGCAGAACCAGTTATTGGATGACCATCCGGATCTGGACTTTGCTTTTTTGCAGTGAGCCATGGCAGAATTACCTGTAATTTTCCTGATTTTGCTTTTGCAATATTTTCAGTGGTTGGTTCGAGTAACCTTCCCTCGAAAGGTGTGAAAGTTATGGGTTGCCTCAAACTTGAGTGGGTGGACAGTCCACGGGCAAAGTCATAAATAACAACATCAGGCAGATGCTTCCAAGACAGAAGCATATCTGCAAAATCCCGAGGACTTTCTGCTCGCAGATTACACTTTATACTGTAAACTATGCCACAAGGACACATGATGACAGCCCAACCTCTTGGAACAGACAAAAAAGATAAGCAAATAGTTAAGAAAACATAATCAAATCCCATTAATGACATTGGGACTTAAATGACCATAGGTTATGATGGAGGGCAGTGGCATTAACCTTAACAAAGTATACTTTTAAAAATTTTAAAGATGCAGTGCCTCAGAGATTTAAATACACTCCCCTACACAGAAAGCAACAATACACCCTGGTGTCAGACAAGGCCACCTCCAACACCCCCCAGAGCTGTACACCACCAATCACTCCCCAATCAGTGCCAAGCAGAAAACAGGACCCATTATGTCTATGTGACTTTGTACATTTCTGATTTATTTGTATTATTTTAATGTGCGACATTGAGGTTTACCTGAAGCAGCCCAAATCTTTTCAAAAACCTTGTCATAGGCCTCCCTTGACCTCATCTCCTCCGAAAGTCGCAGGTGTAGATCTGTGCGAGAGCCTTTGGCATCTAAACCACACTCTTGACACAGTCTTCTTATCACTCCCACCTATCACATAAAACACACATGTTAAATGAAATGCCAACACTGACAAATAATACATATAATTAGCATTAAATATTTTACTTTCTGTTTTGAAAGTTCGTCCTTTAAGCGATCTTCAGAGACAGTTATTTCTGTTCGTTCTGCAGTTTTTGCTTTGTGCACTTTCTCAAATTCAGTGTTGAGAACAACATTCGCTATGCGAGTCTTACTCCCGATCCAGGGTGCCCAAAAGTTGTAACTAGGTGTAACACAAAATGGATTGTTTTTTTGACCTTTAGGACAAACAAACATGTTAATACATCAGTGAATTTAGATTGTACTCCTGAAAACACTTATGAAATTAAATAATGATGACATGCCATTCCTGATATAATAAATTTCCTTACTTGAAAAAAATCCTCGAGCAATTCGTTCTTCTGTCAGTGCCTTCCAAAACATATCTAAATCCACCTCTCCATTAAAATCTTGCGGAGGCTGTAAAGATCACACACTAAAGAAAATAAATACATACTATAAACTTACTAATAGTTTTACTAATAAGACTTACCTCTCTGCAGTAAAAAGGAAAGATATAGGTGACATGAAAGACACAGATGGATGGTCACCACAAGATACACATGAATACTTGTATTCATGGTCAGTTAGGGCCTCAAAATGCAGATAGCCGTGGAGAAGAGTAACTGCTGAGGGGAACTGTACACCTGTAGTTACCTCTAAGTACTCCACTACTCTGCTGACTGCTGTATGCACCTATGATAAAGAAATCACAGTTAATCAGTACTTATATAGGCAAGGCAAGGCAAGTTTATTTATATAGCACATTTCATACACAATGGTAATTCAAAGTGCTTTACATAAACAAGAATAAAAGAGACAAGTATAAGAAAATAAAAACAAAGAATAAAAATGATTAAAAAAAACAGTTAAAAACAGAAAACATAATAGTGTGAACTGTCGGACATAGCACAGTGCTCATTCAGTAAAGGCACAGCTAAACAGATGTGTTTTAAGTCTTGATTTGAATGTGCCTAATGTTGCATAAAATCAACACTATGAAGAAATCCTATTGTTGTTAAAAATATTATATTGTATAACATATAATATATGTATTTTATAACGATTACCTGCAACAGGTTTCTTATGGTGAGGCAGAGAGAGAGTTCAAGGAGGACATGGTCATTGAAGTTATGCAAACCATTAGCCCACTCTTGGTAACGGTACACCATTCCACAGAAAGGACATAATTTGTAGTAGGTTGAAATATCTGCAGATACAGAATGTAAAATAAATGGTTTAGTATCTTTTTCATAATTAAAATAAAATAAAAAATGTAAGTAACAATTTTCCACCTTGGACAATTCCTGTAGTTGTAAGAATTTTCGCATTACGTGTAATGCAGACAGGATCACTGAGCAATGTGCGGTCTGAGCAGTGGTAGCACATTGTCTCATCAGGGATTAGGTGTTTTGGAAATTCCTTATAGTCTGAAGAAATCCTCAAATGACTTGGAATAGTAGATGGTAGCTTTTTATTCATTAAGATGTATTCTACTATGCTCTTTACTTTAGCAATGTCCTTTGGAGGGTAATTCTCACTTTCATCACTTTCCTCCATCTCTGCTGCCTGAAATTCTTCAGCGCTTTCAGTGCTCCGAACTTTTCGGAAGAGTTCAGGGTGAATTTGAAAGAGGTGCCATTTTGCTATGTATTTATGGGTACATGATCTCTGGGTTTTTGCACAGGGGCAGTGCCATGAATTCTTCTTGGTGTCATATGATACCATGACTCTGCCCAGTCTACTATAATATGATATATTAGGCTCGTAGACCGATATGAACCTTTTTGTTGGTGGGACTCCAATCTTGGATTCAACTGACAGTGGTGCATTTTCTTCTTGGGCTAGTTTTTGACGATTTACACACTGTTTTATTTTGTCCTGCCCAAACCACTTGCTTTTAACCATTTCTTTTAAACTTTCTTCTGTGAGTGAAGGTGAGGTTAAAAATGTTTTGCAGTATGAAACTGACCGGAGGTGAACACATTTGTATGACAGCAGTCCACTTCTCCAAGCCAACTCCATATTAGTCTGGCACTCATTTAATTCACATGAAACACGATGTGGTTCCCCCCATATTTGTATTTGCACATGGAGTGAAGTAGAAGCTCCATGAAAACTTTTGTGGACCATATAGACTCCATTCTGAGGGTCTATGCACTTAC